GAGCTTTGGCACCACCTTTACCTTGTTTGCCCTTTTCAGCACCATCAGTTAGTAAGACACCTTTACTCTGCATATGTTTGTATAAAACTCGTTGCAAACCAGACATATCACATTTGACAATGTATTCTACTTTATCGGGTAATTGGGACTCAACTTCTTTTTTCAGGCGCCTTAACAAGAATGGACGTAATACTTTATGAAGACGGCGGATAATCAAAATAGTTTCTTCTTCATTTAATTCAACCTAAACATATACAAAATAACAACAAAAAGTTTTACACATATTAAATTATTTAGCTTATAAAAAATAAATACCTTTTCTCCAGTAGTTGCAAAAGGCGCATTGAACCATTGTTCAAATGTCGAACAGGATTTAAATATAGATGGCAACAAAAAATTAAGAAGAGCCCAAAGTTCTGGGAGTTTATTTTGCAGCGGTGTACCAGTTAACAGTAATCGGTGTGGAGCATTATAATGAGTGTTTAAGACTTGTGTCAATTTACAGTGATGATTTTTCATACGATGACCTTCGTCTATAATCATGTATTTCCAATGAAGCTAAAAATATAAATGATTAAAATGAATATACCATTGAAAATATAGTATTTAAAATTTAAAATAAAAACATTATAAAATAAATACTACTTACTTTAGCAAGAACTGATTTATCTTTTATAACATATTCATATGTAGTTAATAAAACATTGAATTTATTAGATCGCATTTGGTTTTGTAATGTTCGACGCATAATTGGAGAGCCTTTATAAGCCACAACAAAAACTGATGGAGACCATTTTTCAAATTCCAATACCCAATTTGACATTGTACTAAAATTTGAAAAGAAATTATTTTGTTTAGCCCAAATCTTAAGGTACTTATGCATATTGATAAAAATATCAAAATGTTGAAACATTGGGAAAATAAACTATTCAAATGTTTCAGTAAAAAAATGAATTATTTTTATGTACATATTGCATTCTATTCAGGGATAATAAACAAATATCAATGACACGTTTTACTTTAAATAATTTATACTAAAATATTTGAAACACCTAAAGTACAAACTTCATATTATATAAAATATTGAAAATATCTGCATACTCTAATATTCTAGACTATAATTAAATGAAAATATGAATAACAAATTCAAAATACTACGTCATAAAATAATATGGATAAATATTAAATAGTATGTTACTTAATAACATTTATAAATTTAACCTCCTAAATACATTATTTAAATCATTAAATACTCCAAAAAAAGGTAATTATTTTAATTCTGTTATTCTAGACATATATATTTTACTAAACGTAACTAACTCACAAATACTATTTGCATAATACAAATTATTTATTCATTTAGCCTTAACTTATAGTAAATCAAAGTTATTAATACTTACGACAATGGAACAATAATCAAAAAAGGTCCATTTACTTTCTTTCTTTCCATAAGATGAGTAATAAGACCAATTGTTTGAATGGTTTTTCCTAGACCCATCTCATCAGCAAGTATTCCATTTAAATTATTGTTAAATAATGATACTAACCATTCAAGACCCTAAAATTAAACAAAGTCAAAGTTTACACAAAATTACTTTTAAATTAATAACTAAAGCCATTACCTTTATTTGATATTCTTTCAGATTACCATTAACTAAAATGGAAGCTTGTTCAGTTACACTTTCATGAATAGTATGAGCAATACTGAAAAAATATATGAATAATGTGATTAGTATACCTATTTATTAATTTTTTTCTTTCATAGGTTACAAACCTGTAATATGTATGTTCTTCAGAAGCATTTTTATATTCATCATCTTCCATTTTGGTTTTTTTAATTGGTTCTTTGTCTTCAACAATTTCCTTTTCAAAGCTATTCTTTTTGATTTTTTGATTGCTTGATTCGTCATCTTCTTGTTCATCATCATCCTCATCTTCAGACTCCTCCATTACTTCCCAACCAGGATGAGCATCTAACCAATTGTTCAATTGTGATGCAAGTGGAGCTTCTTCTCCTTTAAACATTCTTCCTGTGATAACAATTTAAGTTTTAACATCGAAGGTAATATTAAAAAATATAAAAATATATTTTACCTGTAGAAGGTTCATAAACTGAAACGTGCATGTCTGATTGCTGTGAACTTTCATCATGATCATCAGGCTCGTCACTCTATTTATTAATATTGAAATAAGTATTAAGTATTGATTAAAATGATTTTATGAGATTTATGTAGGTATAAAATATGGGATTAAATATAAACTCACCTTCTTCTTTTTTCTTTGTTCTTCTTGTTGCTTACGCTTCTGCTCTAATTTATGTTCTTTGACCATCTCTGTTAGATTTCCAATATACTCATCAGTTTGTGAGAGAAGGAAAGCCAAACGTTTATCTTTCTTTTGATCAATTAATTTTCTATAAAAATAAAAATGTTTTTAGATCTACAACTATGAATGAAACAAAAATAAATTAAGTTATACCTATAGCCTTCTTCATCTTCAGCCATCAATCTTCTCATACGCTCTTTCTCAATTCTTTCTTGTTCTTTCTTTTGTTCCCGCTCAGCATTGGCATGATAATTAAGAACAGCTTTATTAAGACGTCCAATTTTTGCAATATTATTTCTATGATACTCTTTTAGATCTTTACAATGTTGCAATATAGTACTAAGATATTCTTGATGTTTTTGACGTTTTTTCCTTTCAGCTTCCAACTTTTGTTGTTTTTCTAATTTCTCGGTTGCTCTAGCTTCTCTTAGACCTTGTCTCTTTGTTCGTTTATATGCTTTTACATTAACAGCAGTTTCTAAAGTAGTATCACGACGAGTACAAGCCACTACTTCAGCTCTAAGTTGTCTTTGGAAATTTAATACTCTTAAAGCTCTAAGTTCAATTTCTACTTTGATTCTTAGATCATCACTCATCGTTGTTGGCAAATTACTCAATTGTTGCACACGATGAGCAATACGTGCAGCCAAACGGTTTTCACGTTCTTGTAATATTATTAAAGGATCCAAGCCAACTGGTTTAGGGCATGATGTCGTTCTATTTTGTTTAACTGGGGGAGGAGGACCCTGTGCTTGTTGCTGTTGTTGAGAGGACTGTTGTTGTTGTTGTTGTTGTTGCTGCTGCTGTTGCGGTTGTTGTGGTTGAGGTTGTGGTTGCTGCTGCTGTTGCTGTTGTTGAGGTAGTGATTGTGGTGATGGTCCATTTGTTGTAGGCATGTTGGGCATATGTGGTGGTATACCAGCCATTTGTTGTGGACCACCCATCATAGGCTGAGGAACTCCTCCAATAGGTGGTTGACCAACAGGTTGAGGGGCATTTATTTGCTGTGGAGCTTGAGGTATTCCTGGAGCCATACTTGGAGGTGGTTGAGGTCCATTCATTGATACAGATGGAGGCTGGTTTGGTGGTGGACCTTGAGGGTGTTGAGCACTTTGAGGAGGTTGAATTGGTGCTTGAGGGGTTGAACCAGGCTGAGGCATACGGACAGGAGATTGTAGAATAGGACCAGGAGGATTGGGCTGTCTCGGAGAATTTTGCATTGGCATTGGTAATCTCATAGGACCTCCTGATGGCATTGGCATACTGTTTTCTACAATTTCTCCCGGTTCTAATTGTCGATGGTGTGCTGAAGGTACTGGTGGATATCCTTGAGGAGAAGTTTTTCCTTGAACAGCCATAGCTAATTGTTGGGTTAAAGGTTGTTGTCGAGCCAATAGTCTATATGCCATTATCTGAACTCTCAGCTGTTGCATTTGGGCAGGAGTTAAATTATTTTGGGCTACTGGTCCATTTGGCCCGTTAGGATTTGGGGAATTCTGTTGAGGCGAAGGTGGTTTATCTGGATGTTGGGGAGGATAATTTCCCTAAAGTAAATTATATTTTTAGTTGAATTATTAATTAACATTTTAAAATAGAAAGTTATAGAATATTAAAATTAATATTGATTAACTTACTTGTATTGAAGAAGGAGGTCTTTGATTAGGGTCCATATTACCTTGTCTCGCTCTTAGTGCCAATAATTGAGAGTACCTAGGGTCTTCTTGTAATCCTTTTTCTTCCATTGAATCTATTGCCCTTTGCAATGCATTTAAATTTTCTTGAGGTGGTCCACTGGGCTATAAACAAATTATTTCATAAAAAATATATTAACTGATTTTTTATACTTATTAAATACATAGATAGATAAACTAAACCTCAAAAATATTCAATTTATAAATAATAATAGATACCTAGTTACTCGTCTCATTCAAAAAATGATTGAGATTGAATCTCAAGATCTCAATAAGCAAATTATATATTGGAAAATAAAAACCAAATTTTGTATAAGTATTTTAATTAAACTACCTATTCACAATTACAATTTATATCAAAAAATTGATAATACTATGATGTAGGGTAAAACTCCGCAACCAACTGAGAAAAACATATTTTACGATTTAAGTACCTATGATCAATTTGCTTTTCTAAAAGTATACAATTAATTTGTTGGCTGAAATGTAAAATCATCTCTAGTTCTTAAAATTACCTACCCGCTGAATAAATATAGAAAATGGCAATGGCATGTTTTGACTTTTGAGTTACCAACACAAAGTTTTCCCACCAAAAATGTAATATAAAATATATTATATTAGTGAGTTCATTGATTTTTTCATTGGATAACAACTAGGTACATTTTAAACAATGACATATTTATTTTATTTTTAATATGTATAAGATATAAGCATAGATATTTTGTTTAACAAAATGTTAAATTAAAATATTATAATATTTAACACACTAAATATAATGCAAACAAAGAATAAAAATCATATAAATTCTAATGTAAGCTACATTGTTAAATGTAGTTTAAATCATGAGTTATGACCCATGTTGTTGAATCCAAAGTTCAAATATAAAAATTTTTATTTTATAATAATAAAATAACTAACTACACAGTACACACTCACTACTTATATCATTATTTATAAATATTTTTAATTTATCATTTTGGTCACACTACACAAGTTGTAAAGAGTGTTATATAATTTAAAGATAAGAAATTAGTACAGTTTATTACACGGACCACTTAGGTAGTGAAAGTTAAAATATACATTTTATTTTTCAAATTGTTTGTGGCACATAAAATAAATTATTAATTTTATCGTAACAATTAAAAACTATGGTTGACATACATCAATATTATAGTGATGCACTAAAAATTGTTTTGGAGGCAGGTGAAGTAAGTTTATTCAGATTTTTTTACAATGTCTATATTTTATCACTAAACATATTTTTTTTTTTAGTTGTTGTTAAAAGGTTTTAAAAGTCCAAAAGAAATATCAACTAAAAAAAATGATCAAGACTTTGTAACACAATTCGACAAACTTATTGAAAAAACAATAATCGACAACATACTACGATTATACCCAAATCATAAGTATTGAACATTTGTTCATTAAAAATATTATTTATTATAAACACTTAAAAAAAAACCAATTGTGTATAGATTTATTGCAGAAGAAAGTGCTGCAAATAATATTTTAACAGAAGAGCCTACATGGATACTTGATCCGATTGATGGAACAACTAATTTTATACAAGGTTTTCCATTTTGTTGTATTTCATTAGCATTGGTAATAGAAAATGATATAAAAATTGGAATAGTCTATAACCCGATAATAAATCAATTATTTACTGCTCAAAAAGGAGAAGGTGCATATTTGAATAATGAAAAAATACAAGTGTCAAGTACTGAAGGTAATTAAAACAAAGCAGACCACATTTTGGTCAATTTTAAATTTTAACTTTAAATATATTAAAAGCTTATATTATAAAATGTGGAATAATAGAAGTAAGTGTTTCCTAAAATACTTTTTTTGCACTTGAAATACTGAAATTGCATAATGTACATTCAAATGATGTAATTATTAACAAGTGGACACTGCACCCACATTTGTAATCTTTGTTTTACAAGAGCAATGTACAGTGAATTTTACATTTAGTTTTGTTAGTTTTAACATTAGAGTGAATTATCTTACTATCAATTTTAAAGGTTATAAAGATCTGTTTTCTTTTTAAATTATAATTAGAAATTAGTTACTAACATTTTTTAAATGTAATACGTATTTCACATAGATATAACTTGCTTTAAAATCATAATATATATAGACCTCAGAGAGAAATAGATCGTGCCATTACCTTTAAATGAAATACCATGTCAATTCCAATATTTAAAATAATGAAAACAAATATGAACCGCTGAACATTAATTTATAATGTTATGAGTTTGTAAAAAATGAGAGTGTGCATGTTATTCTTAATCAAACAAGTGCGCTGCATGAAATTGGCGAAGTAATTTTAAACTATTTTATCTACCTACCAAAATATTTTAATTCATCTAAAAAACATGTGGGAATTTGTAAATTAGAAAAAAATTGGGCTTATTATAAAATTTATTTGCTTATTCTTACCCAGTCTAGCACGGTTTATTTATTTTATTTACAGATCTTCAAAATGCCATGGTTGGACATGATATATATCTTAAAACTAGTATAAGGAATTTTCGTGGGTAAATATGAATTTTAAATTATAGATTAATGTATTTTAAAAAGTAACTTGGTGGCATAGCCAGAGGGGTGTTTTTAATTTTAAGAAAATTAAAAATTATTTCTATGGTCTATGATAGTTATTGTAAATACAAATTTGAATAGTCATAAAGAAACCGAAACTATTGTAATTAAACCCAAAATTTAATTCATAATTGAGCCTGAAATTAAACCTCAACATCGATATAATTAACTTATGGAGAATCCTAGTTAAACCACCCCTGGGTAAACACATATTTAGACACAACACAAAAAAGTTACTAACCTATTTTTATACAATTTATATTGACAAATTTTAAGTTTTTTGTTATGGTTTTTAATAACATAATTTATGATTATTAAATGAAAAGTATAGTCCAACTTGTATCAACTTGATTAACTAGTATTCAGATAATTCAAATGAATTTAATTTCTTTTTAAATCTCAAATATTATTAAGATTTTGCAATTGAAAGTGTATAAACATTTAACACATTATACTTAATAGATCAAGATCTTTAGGGTCAGCAGCAATAAGTTTATGTTATTTGGCAATGGGAGCAGTAGATATATGATTTATGAAAAGATTGAAATGTTGGGATGTAGCAGCAGGAATTCTGATTATCCAAGAAGCTAAAGGCATTGTACTTGATTCAGAAGGTAAAAATACAATAAAATATATTAAGTTTAGTATATAATATGATTAACTACATCTACAATAATTTTTTTAGGAGGCCAATACAAAGACATTATGAATGCTGATGTAATTGCTGCTTCTACAAAAAAACTAGCTGAAAATTTTTTAAAATTAAAAAATGTCAATTTTTAATATCAAATTTTAATGATTTGGGGTAATACTATACATAATATTCATTATTATTTGAGATGTAACATTTGAACTTGTTATCTTGAAGGTAATCTAAATAACTATAGACATTGTAATGTCATTTTTAATATCAAATTTTAATGATTTGGGGTAATAAAATATATAATATTCATTATTATTTGAGATGTAACATTTGAACTTGTTATCTTGAAGGTTATCTAAATAACTATAGACATTGAGTAAAGATCAAAATATAACTTATATTTCAAATAGTGTAAAATTTAAAGTTGCTATAGAAAATATTTATAAGAAACACTTTAAGTAACTTACTGTAAATTTTGAAGGAATGTTGAAATCACTATTGCATCTACAATAATATTGGTAGAAATATCATAATATAACTATCAGCTAAAGGCATTGATTTGGTATTTAATTTATTTATTTGTAAAATTAATCAACGCCAAAGGATATCCAAGTTTTCAAAGATTCTTTTAGATTTGTACACTGATTATAACTTGTTAATAGTTTATAATGGATTATCACTTGTTCAGTGTTTTAGATTAGACGCCGAACAGTTAATTGTAAGTATTATTATAAGATACTAAAATAGGTTATACATAGAAATCTAAAATATGGTAATATACTATTTAGAAAAAAAAGCAATTTGCTCCATCCGTGAATGGTTTTCATCTAATTTGTTCTTCTTTAAATCTACAATGAACCTAATTAAGTTTATTTTTTATAATTTATTTATTATATTAGCACATACAAATTTAAAGCCTAAACAAATAAATTATTACATGGACTTTTTTTTTTAACAGTTAGATTTAGTTTAGGTACTTTCAAGTGAAATATTTACAGGGAGTGACCTGGGTAATCACCTTCCAAAGCTTTTCTTATTTCTTAAACAATATGGAAGTCTATAAAATATGTTGGTATAGTTTTAAGTAAAATAATGGCATATAAAACAATGCACTTTACAGAAAGGTAAAATAAAAAGAGTTGCAAAATAGTTTTAGTCATATCTCCCCCTAGAAAAAAAATCATAGATATGCTACTGCTTACCAACCACCTATAAAATGAAATATTTTGAATTGTAGTTTGTAATACAAGTTGCTAAAATTGATACGTATCACTACATACAAACACTATTAAGAGGACGTGATACCTGCATGTGTTGTCTCCATCTTACAAGTGTGTACCATAGCAAATTTTACGCTCAGCAGAACAAGTGTAGCTCCGTTAGTTTAAAAATTAGTGCGAATTGAACTCTTATAAAATCTAAAGGTAAGATTATTATCTAGTCAACCTCATAGGTTTTTTATTATATTTTAATTTTAACGCGAGTTATGAGTATTTTAAGATGCATAAAAAATTTACAATTTTAGAATACTCATAACTCGCATTGAAATTAAAATATAATAAAAAACCTATGAGGTTGACTAGATAATAATCTTACCTTTAGATTTTATAAGAGGTCAAATCGCACTAATTTTTAAACTAACGGAGCTACACGTGTTCTGCTGAGCGTAAAATTTGCTATAGTACACACTTGTAAGACGGAGACAACACATGCAGGTATCACATCCTCTTAACATTAAGTACAAGTTTTTAATTTTATTATATTATTCTGAGCAGAGTTGTCTGTTGCTTGACTGCGTAAGAAAATATTTCATTAGCATATTTTGTTATCAACATAAATTGATTCAAGTTTCATTTATTTTTTTACTTTGATGCCTATGTGTTACCATTGAGATTATTATGGAGTTTAATTGAACAAATTTTTTTTTTTAAATACTCATGTTGTTGTAGGTAATAACCATTATTTTGAATTAATTAGGTTCGAAAAAAACTAGATTTAATCTAATACTGAAATGGTAAGACTTTAATAAGGCTAGCTAACTACCTATCTATCTACCTACTGAATTTGTATTCAACAATTGTCCAACAAAAAACAATGAACAATGAAATGCCTTTGAAATATTTCATACATATTTCTAGGCAATTGATTTTAATGGAAACATATAACAAATTATTTTATTCCAATATGGACATAAACTGAGTAATTGAAATTTGAATCTACTTGAATGCCTGGAGGTGGAAATGTTTGAGTCCCCTGCTGCATGTTAGGAGATGCCGGCGCACCCGACTGGCCAGGCGAATAATTTTGTGGCGGCAGTGGCTGAGGAGTGGTAGGTGGCTGTTGCTGTTGAACTTGTGGAGGCTGTTGTTGGTGTTGTTGTTGTTGTTGTTGTTGTGGTTGTGTCGGAGGTGGCGGTTGATGATTAGGCCCCGGAGGTCCCATCGAACTTGGCGAGGGGCTGGCCATTTCCGAAAGCACCTGAAAACACCGTATATTTAACTACCTGATCGGACGACGTAACAAACTATTGCTGGAATATATAATAATATTGTAATTAACAGTAATATTTTTACCCAAAGACTCTAAAGAACGCAGATGGAAATGACCGTCGAAAACTTACAATTAACAAAATCAATAGAAAACAAAACTTGTTAGAAGATAAAAAAAAAGTCAATCGTGAAAACCACTGTATAATGTATACCGCAAACGAACCGAGTGACACGATAAACAAAACAAAAATTCAGTGTTTATTGATCAGCTACATAAAACGACTTTTTTCGTCAGCATACCGTCAACACTGATGCACAACTATCGATTTAATATTTTCATGCTTCTCTTTCCAAGGCGCAACGGTAAATGGCTAAGTGACTGTAAATTTGCCTATCTAAATTTTTTTTAGGCACTACAAATTAAAAAGTACCCATCCTATGAAAATAATATGTTATTATTATTATTATTATTATTATTTATTATTAGAAGTAGTAGCCTTAAAATTACGTTTTTAGTAAATAGGTACGTGAGTCATTATATTTGCATTAAAGGTGAGAAAGTGGGTACCGCTCTAACTCTGCAAGTCTCGACCCTCCGCCTTTGACCCCCTCTAAAATTTAAACATATTTAGTATTCACTTAAGACCCATGACCATAATTTGAATGGTTTTTAAAAACAATCATATTTGGTCATTAAAAATGATCTTATGACTAGTTTGACCTATTGTAAAATAACTATAAAATGGTATACTTAATTAATTGTTATGTATGTTAACACAAATTTAAACCGGTTATTAACAAATAGTCGTGAGTTTAAGTTATTTATTATAAAAGTGAGAGAGAAAGTAAAAATGATTCAATATCAATGTTATGATTTATTATGATGAAAATTCAGACAGTTTTAGATAATATTAAGGGGCCTCGCTAATCGTTACGACTGTTAATTAAGGGGCAACATTTAGGCAATTTCTAATTTCGTCTTTACCGGATCCATGTGTTAATTATAAATGATTATTAATGTGAGTGGAATTCAATGAGGGTACCACTCTCGTAAGCGCATGCACATGTCACGAACATGATAAAAATATCAAATCCGCTATACGAAACTTACTTATTGTTTTGACAAAATTAAGGTTAGTTGACATTGTCTGATTTTGATTCTGCAAAATATTTGAATTCATCAGAAATGTGTCTGCGGGTCGTATGAAGCACGTTGGTTTTTTTAAATTTTAATTTCAATTATTGAAAAAGTTCATATTTTCAAGTTTTCAACTACAATGCACAATAATCTAAGATTTAAGTTTTTACAAAGCGTTCCGAACGATCTATAGACAATTGTTTGTAGAGTTCAAATTTTGTTTAGAATAAAATTCCGACAACATAAACTAACTTTAGTTTTGTTACAACTAAAGGTGTTTTTAACTTAAATTGACGGCAAAAGCAAGGCCCCTTAATAAACTCGAATGATAAAGAATAATATTATAATACTGTCGACCACAATTTAAGATAGTACCACAGAATAGATGAAGTCTATTTAATCTATTCTGTGATAGTACTATTATAAATCGTGCTGTCTGTCGACGCATGCAGACCATTGAACTATATGATATATATATACTATTATAAGTATATTACTATTATTATAATATATTATTATTATTTATTTATGTTATTATATGGTTCAATGATGCAGATTGCAGACTGCTGAGAGCCTAATAGTGAGAAATCATTATATTTTTAGACACTTTTGAGTTTTGGAATATTATTTTTATGTTGTTATTCTACTGCAATAGCTATAGTTATTATCATTTAGTGTGAATCATGTAACTTGATGCTATTTGTTTTGTTACCCATTTTAGGTCTTCGATTTTTCCAACATTTGACTGTCTACTCTAAGCCCTAACGTTATACTGTCTATGATATATTTAACAATAAATAATATTATTTATTTATTTTATATTAATCGTCATCATGTCAAACACGATATGCAACATTAACCTATAAAATCTTTTTTTTTGCACCTAAAAAGATTCGATTGGAAGTAAAAGTTGCAGGTGTTTATTATTTTCCCAGGGCTTATTCTAAAGCACAGTCAATCTTATTTTTCGCATTTAGAAAAGCTAGATGTGCACTTGAGAATGGATTTTCTCAATATTGATTTTTATAATTTTTTGTTATATTAATAAGATAAGACAGCAAATAGTAATTCTGTATACAGTGTACTTTATTGGATATAATTTTTTTTTTTTAATAATTATCCTCAAGTGGCATAATTGAGGGTGCTAATTTCAGTACTTAGTGTATTAGCTCCCCTGCTCCCAAATTGCACTTTTGGGGTAGGTATCGGTATTCTAGTCTACAGCTATGATTCTTTATTATAATGATCGAATAGCTAATAGTCTGATAAGTCAGTGAACCACTAGACAATAATTATAAGTATTCAATAGTTCATATCAAAAAACTGTAGAATCCCTTATATTTTAGCTCCGGTTGAAAACTTTTATTAATTCAAATATTTTTTGATGAACTCACATAGAAATTTACATCTTAAAATAGAAGAACTGTTTCTGGTTAGTTGTTTATAATAACGTTTTATAGGTACTATTGTTATCTGCTGTAATCGCGTAGTGCACTTTGCCCTAAATAATAAATAAAATATAAAATAATTGGTAAGTAAAAATAATATATTAGGTAACTATTTGTTGACGAGTATATTATATCATTAATGTAGTTATTATTATTATTACTTTTATCTGTATCATTATATTGTATAATATATTATCTTACTCTCGCCGATATCTGTTCGACCAGGATTTAATTATGTTACTTATTTAGTGTGTGTTTAGCCGTGTGTCTATGACTCCATGTACATAATTTGCGTGTCACCGACTTATAAAATAAATGGTGTAGTTATACCAAAAAGGTTAAGTCTGAATAGTGAATGTATTAATAAAAATAACAAACATCCCTATACAGTCCACTAAAAACTGACGGCAACACTATTAGAATAATTATTAAGAAAATGATAAGTTCAACCCCTACCTCCCCCCTCTACCACATAGTAT